ACAGCAGGAAGGAATGACTGACAGTCACCACTCTCTGCAGAGAGAAGCTTTCAGCTGAGCGATCAGCAGTTTGTGATCTCTCAGTTCTCAAACTATAGAGCCAGCGTGTCACACTGCAGCTGTCACAGGCCGGCTCTATAGCTCGAGAATTATTCTCAAAACTAGGGATGCACCAATACCAATACTAGTATCAGTATCGGTGCCGATACCAAGTATTTGGGTGAGTACTCGTACTCGCCCAAATGCTCCGATACCTAGCACGAGTACTTCCTGTATCAGGAAGCCGGGCAGCGCATCATTACACGCTGCCCGGTTTCCTGATTGGCCAGGAAGCGGCTCCATGCTCTCTCGTCACTTGTGATGAGAGAGCATGGAGCCGACTTCCCGGCCAATCAGAAAGCCGGGTAGCGTGCAATGACGCGCTGGCCGGCTTCCTGATTTGGTCAGGAAGCTAGCAAATCCGGAAGCCAGGTGCAGTGTAATGACGCAGCACCCGGAATTCTGATTGGCCGGGAAGCCGGCGTCATGCTCCCTCGTCATCTCATGAATCATAATATTAAAGGGGTTCTAAGCCCTCCGTTTTTTTTTTTGCTTATATCTACTGCTAGCATGCAGTAGATATAGGCAAGAAGTGTAAAAAAAAAAACAAAAAACCTGTTTAAAATAATTTTAAACTTACCTCGTTATCGCCGCTCGCTCCCGCGCCGAGAATCGGGAACTGCTCGTACGGCTGCAAAGGATCTTGGGGCGGGCGCATGCGTAGTTCCGATTCTCGGCCGGGAGACTAGCAGAGACGCAAGGTAAGTCTATAGATGCGTGCACCCGCCTGCAGACACCGCTGGATTGGAGAGACAGAGCAGTCAGCGCTGGATCGGAGTGATGTCACACCGCTGGAGGGACAGATGAAAACATGGGGAAAGAAGAGGAAGATCGGAAAAAGAGACATCATTTAAGGTAAGTGCTAACATTTACATGGGGGGGGAGGGAACATTTTTTTGCCTTTTAATGTCACTTTAAGAAAGTGACCTTAAAGTGACATTAAACCCTCAGATTTTTTAACATAAAACAATACTGTAATGTGTGCATTACTGTAATCCATGGTAGTTTCCCTTCTCTTTGATGCTCTTCCTTTTTAAATCTGTATCTTTTCTCATGCTTGGAGAGAACTTCCCTTTTCAGCTCAGGGCCTCTTCCTGTAGTGCTGGCTCAGGTTACAGCCTATAGAAACGTATACACAGACAGTCTGCTGAAAAGGGAAGTTCTCTCCAAGCATGAGAACAGATACAGATTTAAAAGGAAGAGCATCAAAGAGAAGGGAAGCTACCATGGATTACAGTAAGGCACACATTACAGTATTGTTTTATGTTAAAAAATCTGAGGGTTTAATGTCACTGTAAAGCATTAGTTTGTATTGCTTTAGAAAAAAATGTGACCTGTCCCTTTAAGAAAAAGTATCGGTAATTGGTATATGCAAGTACTTGATCAAAAGTATCGGTACTCGGTCTTAAAAAAGTGGTATTGGTGCATCCCTACTCAAAACTATTGGGAAGAGTTTATTTTACTCCCCAAAAGTTCTCCTTTTTACAATCCTATTCATTGTTAATTCCTTGTGCTCTAGTGTAGTCACTGATATAATCCTGAAAATGCAATTGTTTTTTCAATCATCTTATAGATTTGGAAGATGGGAATAAAACACTCAGTGATGAAAAATTGGACAAAACCTTACCAGAAGAGCCATTATATTCACTGGGTGATCTTCACGCTAGGAATAAACGCAACAGCAATAATTCAGATGACTGGATTGAGATGAATCTATCAGGTAAATGGTATTGCATTTAACATATGGAAACCTTCTACTTAAGTGGCCCTGCCATAAAAATACATTGGGCAAACAGCAGTGCCTGTAAAAAGAAAAAAAAAAGTGTAAATGCTTACCTCTCCTGCTTTCATTTTGCTGAAAGCCACTGTTGATTTAAGGAGTCATCTATTGAAGTCCGCTGGGAAAATGACACTTCCTGGAGTGTCCTGTTGTATCATGAAGGTCAGTAGCAAGAGCCACTTGGTGCTGCAGGGACAGTGGAGATCGACACTCCTGGAAGAGTCTGTTTCTCAGCAGACTTTGGGGATGATTTCTCGTTAACAGAGGAGCGTTCAGCAGGAGAAGTAAATATTTACACCCTTCTTACATGCACAGCCGTTTAATGAGTTTCGTTTTCGACACAGAGACAAGTTAAGTTAAAAATTAACATTTTAGTGATGTGTGACTTAAAGTGAACCTGTGCTTTGCCAGTGCAGTCCAAGCATCATATTGACTTTAATCCCTTCCCCAGTATCGCATACCTTTCCTTTTGTTCCCCTGTTGCTACATTCATCTGCTGAGAGCAGGGGAAACCCCCTATATTTGAGTCATGGCTCACGTGGGGATATTGAGTCATGGCTCACGTGGGGATATTGACTTTCCCCATGTGATGGTCCTGGAATTTGGTGATTGGCCTGGCGCTGTAACATGGATTGAGTTGTATGTTCTTCATACTGGGAAATCGTTAATTTTATTGCTCCTGGAAGGTGAACAAAGTGACAAAAGTAACCGTGGAATAAAGGAAAGTTGAGCGTGAGCTGTTGATACTTTGCACTCCATGTGCTATCTGGAGTATTAAGGGTTTTCTTTTTATTAGACTGTACAGATGGCCTTTTGTTTTTAGATCCACAGACAATGTCAGGTAGACTTGAAGTGAATATAAAAGGATCAGAAGCTAGCAAGTCTGCTTATATAATGAGTAAATAAGGTCAATTCAGATGATTCTTTACATTCTGGTGATATCTTTCACTCATATATCCAAAAGCAATACAAATCCTATAGCTCCTTTGCATTCAAACAAACTTTTTTGCTAAACCTTTCTCTCACTGTGGTTTAAAATATTTCACTGTGAAGAAAACTTTAGAAACGTTATATAAATGACTCAAAACTTTGCATGATAGTAACTGTAAGTTCGTAAAAGATGTGTGCTAGCAGCTGCTCTTTGTGATCGAAGTGAACAGATTGGGACAGCTGCTTTTTGATTATTGCAGCTAAAATCACCATTTAAAGCCATTACGACAGCTTGTTGCCATATCTTTTTTCACTTTGTTCTGTATGCAAAGCTTAAAGCAAGCATCCTTCTGTTTCTTAGACTTCGTTCACACAGGCTTTAGGTTGCAAATGCTGGTCTGAAGATGTTTACAGCGAGCATTTGTAGAACAAGTTTCCATTAGCTTTCCCTCTCCTGGCCCTGAGGTCACCAGTGCTTCTGGCCTGGGAAACCTTGTGCCATCTTCAGCGACAGCCCAGAGGTTGCCTACATGAGCATGCATGTAAAACCATTCAGTAAACAGACCAGTCGTGTGAAAGATTGTGGTCACATGACTGGTCTGCTTATTAAATTAAAGAAAAAAAACCTGTCAGGATATAAATGTGGGAGTGCCAAAGTGGACTGTGTTAGTGAAATGGCCACGGCCGCTATTTTAATCTGGGCTTCACCATGCAGTTGTATACTTCTGTCCTGCATTGATCCAGGTTACTGACACACTGGGGAGTGAAGTTAGGATTAGGATGGCAACTGTAAGAAGAACCCCAAAACATTCTTCAATATGTCCAATATATAAACTGTAAAAGAGAAGGTAGGCCCAATAAAAGATGAGAATGGGAGATTAACCACCAATGATAAGGCTGAGGTATTGAACTCCTTTTTCCGTATAGACTTGAGAGAAATTCAGATTTAATAGACATAAAAATTTGAGTAGCTTGGTGCGTAATATACTGCAGTGGTTGACGGTAACCGGGGGTTCAACAAAAACTAGAATAACTTAATGCAAATCGTTGGCACCAGATAACCTGCACCCTAAGGTACTTAAAGAGCTCAGCCATGTTGTAGCAAGACCATTATTCCTCATCTTCAAGGTCTCCATACTGACTGGAAGGGTACCAAGTGATTGGTGTAAAGCCAGCCACAATAGTACCAATATTCAAAAAAGGTTCAAAATACCAACCAGGGAATTACAGACCAGTCAGTTTAACATGAATAGTATGCAAACTGTTTGAGGGAATGATAAAGGACTATTTAGTGGATTTTGTTCATGACAATGGCACGGATTTAGGAAGGACTGTTCTTGTCAGACCAACCTACTAACATTCTACGAAGAGGTAAGTAGAGATCTAGATGGAGGAAGGCCAGTGGATGTAGTGTACCTGGATTTTGCCAAAGCATTTGACACAGTACCACATAAACGCTTAATACACGCTTAAACGCTTAAAGCTGCAATATATTGGCATGAAATGGTGTGTACATGGATAGAGAACTGGCTACAGAAATGTGTCCAGAGAGTATTGATAATTGGCTCTTCTTCAAATTGGTGTAAGATCGAGAGTTGCATGCCCAAAGGTTCTGTGCTAGGCCCAATACTTTTTAACCTGTTTAATAATGATATTGGGGAAGGTGTTAACAGCCATGTTTCTGTGTTTGCTGGTGATACTAAAATTTGGAGAGTAATAGACAAGGACTTGGACATTATAATATTACAGGAGGACCTGGATAAAATAGGGGACTGGGCAACTACATGGTAGATGAGGTTTAATGTAGAAAAATGTAAAGTAATGCATTTTGGCCAGCAGAATACATAATAATGGGTGCTCCACTAGGGAAGTCAGAAATAGAAAAATATTTGGGGGTCATAGTCCTCTACAGATTAAACAATAGCATACAATGCCAGGCTGCGGCAAACAAAGCTAGCAGAGTATGGTCCTGTATTAAAAAGGGAATGTACTATAGAGACGAAGCAATAATTTTGCCACTTTAGAGATCACTGGTTCGGCCTCATTTTGAGTATGCGGTTCAATTTTGGTCACCAATCCACTGAAAGGATGTCCTTAAGCTGGAGAGAGTCCAGAGAAGGGCAACAAAACTAATTAAGGGGCTGAAGGATCAAAGTTATAAGAGAAGGTTGCTATATTTAAACTTGTTCATGTTGAGGCGATTAAGAGGGGACATAATTTTGATGTACACAATGTTCAGTGGTGATGGCATCATCAGCAATACACTATTTATTGTAAACTCCCTAAAAATGATTAGAGGCCATTACCTAAAATGGTGGAGAAAAGATTTAACCACAGGGGAGTAGGGGCTTCTTTTCCGTTAGAGCGGTTCAAATTTGGAAGCTGGGATCATCCAATACTCCCGGCGCTCTGATGGGGGGGATGGTGGCGCCGGATACCAATCCGATCATCTGACACTCCCAGCGCAGAGATGGGGGAGCCCGCTTGTATCCGGGGCCCCCCATCTCTGCCCTGGGGCTGCGTTAGATCGGATACTGGGCCCACCCAGGCTCGGGCGGGGGTAGGTCCGCCCCTGTCAAGGACCATAACATACATTGGAACAGGTACTATTAAAAACTAGACCACACAGGGGGAGATAGATTGATATATCTATAGATCTTTCCCTCGCTATCTATAGATATATCTACAGATATATAATATGAGAGAGATCTATATAGATATGTGAATATACTTCTATAATGTATCACTATATAGATTTACATGCATTTGTTATTCATATTGTATCTTTATTTCAGCAAAAAATGAAGCAGATACCAAAAGCCATTCTTATGTGGAGAACGGCATATCTCCAGACATGGAATATAGAGACCCATCCTCATTGGAGCTTTCTCCATCTGACAGCTCTGGCGGAACTTATATGTGGGATGAAGAAGGAATGGAGCCCATTGGAAATGTCCATCGGTGCGAGAGCTACGAGTCATCAGAAATGAACAGCATGGTATGTTTTTAAGAGTTTTTCCTACTAATATTCCAATATTAACGTTTTCTGTATATTGAGGTGTCTGTTGCCCAGGTTTACTGGTATTTGGCATTTTTTGTGGTGGGAATTGCAGCACTATCGTATAATACAGTGCATTCTGATTTCTATTTTATCTAATCAGTTTGGTTACCTAATCTTCACAACATAATTCTGTTGAAGTGCAGTAAGGTCAAAATTATTTATTACTTCACCTCAGAGGAAGACTTGCTAAAACTCACGAATCCTTTTTTCTGTATTACCGTTAGAAGAAATGTAGCACTGGTGCCATTCTCAATACAGAGATCAGTGCAAGATTAAACTCTTATGATCCTTTGAAAGTTGACCAATGGAAGAAAATCTGCATCATTGGTACTATGAAGTCTCCTATAAGTAGTGGAAGGAATCAATTTTCTTTAATTAGGTCAGAATAATTCTTATTGTTTGTATCTGAAAAGAACAGAAGGTGTTTACTTGAGGTTATTGTTAGACAAAATATATAAATGCATCTAGTAATCCCTTCTTTACTATGATTATTTGAACTAGTTTAGTAGAAATATGGTAATATAAATGATTAAATAGGCTTTATACACAAAGTCTGAACATTTTTATTTCATTCTAAAAGAACAAATAACAGAATACAATGTGGGGGATTTATCAAAACTAAAACAGGCAAAATCTGGAGCAGCTGTGCATGGCAACCAATCAGCTTCTATCTTTTATTTTCAAAGCCCAACTGAATAAATTAAAGAGTGAAGCTGATTGGTTGTTATGAGCACATTCTGTCTGCTCCAGGTTTAATAAATTCCCCCTACTGTGTGCATTTTTGTTAAATCTACAGTGAAGCTAGCTGAGCTACAAGAATGTGAAGGTACGGTATGTGAAGCGCTGTGAAAATTGTTGGCGCTATATAAATACCTCTTGAAAAAAAATATATATATATATATATTTTATTTTTTTTCTCATCTGCCCTCAATACCCCATAATGACAAAGTGGAAACAGAATTTTAGAAATGTCTGTGAAAAAAGTGAAGGGGGTATGAATGCACCGTATGTGAACTGTCTTCTCTTCTAAGGGATTTGTTATTTCCTCCAGCCACTTTTGTCATTTATTCAACTTATATCTATCAAAAGGAAAATATTTGTCTAACAGTAAACAAACTGCATTATTACGACAACATATTACAACATAATAACATTCAAAATAGATGTTAAAAACATATAGCAATGCAATATATACAGTAGTAATTACGGTATTCTGCATGGTAAAAAAAAATTTAATTCCCTTAGAATAAAAGGGATTTTATCTGAATTTATCTTATATGATGTAGTAAAAATTAAATGGCTATGTTTGCCCCGATGCCTAGACAAGTTGGTTACCAGGTCTAGGCATGGGGAAAACAGGTCATTTATATCCTTGGTTCTCAACTGGTGGGTCGTGGCCCCGTGTTCAGTGGGTCACCGGATGCCTTCCACTTTTCTAGGTGAGAGGCTCCTCAGCCTCCCCCTAGCGCAGTACTGTCAGTTCTCACGCCAAGCAGCCATTGAAAATATGCTGCCCGGTGCCGAGTGTCAGCTTCAGGTGGGATGGGATGGGGCTATGGCCGCGAGGGAGCTTCATCCATACATGCATTGCTTACAGCTCCCTCACGTGTCCTGTGGAGGTGCCTGGACCACAGTGATGTCACATTCTGGCTCCAGTCACCTCTACAGGGCACACAAGGAAGCTGTACAAGCATTGCACATATGGATGGAGCGCCATCGCAGCACAGCAGCCCACACTGGACCCCAGGCTGGGGATCCACTCTAGTTCTTGTAAGGGGCGGGAGACTGAGTGGATCTTAAAAAAAGATTCAAACATTTAGTTTTTTTGGAGAGTGTATGTTTGTGTGAGAATATCTGAGTGGTTGTGTGTCTGTCAGTGTTTTTGAGGGCCCGTTCACAATAGTACAGTGCGTTAAACGCACTGTACTATGCAAAATCGCACCTACCGCAAATTCTGGTGTGGGAAGTGTATTGCATTGCTATTCATTTGAATGGCACCCCAAACTCACCTCCCACCCACAGTTCGATCGCCCGCAACGGAACACGCAGTACCGCAATATCGTGTGTTCCAGTACGGTACGGCTTGGGTCACGACTGAATGACCAAGGACAAATGTGGGTCCTGAGGTTACGCAGGTTGAGAACCACTGATTTATACGGTGCTGTCCATTGTGAAATAATAAACATATTCTCAGGTTGTAGTTGATGATCAGCAAAAGGGCAGAAATATAGGCCCAAATATGTTGTCCAAAGTGTAATTTACAGTATATAGAACTTCCAAATATTCAAGATAAGATTTAAGTAACACAGGCGTCGGGAGTAAGTAACTTTAAGGTTAGCAGTATGTAAAGCAGAAGGCAGAAGTCAGTAGTAACACCAAATTTAAAGGTAACATCAAGTACCACAGAGCGCAGAGGTCAGGAGTATGTAATGCAGGGTGCAGGAGTAAGTAACAGAGGTTAGAGGTAACCAGTAAGTACCGCAGAGAACAGAGGTCTTAGTAGTATGTAAAGCAGAGTGCAGGGGACAGGAGTGAGTAACTCAAAGTGCAAAGGTCAGTATTATGTAATGCAGAGGTAAGTGGTCCGTAACACATAGTGCATACATCTACTCCCCAAGCTAACATCGCCACTGCACAAATTCCCCCACTCCCTGTGTAAAATGTACTTACCAGACCTTAGATGCAGTGGCGCTGGGCAGAGTGAGCGATGTTCTCAATTGTCTCCCCTCTGCTGTGTCATATAACGCATCCGAGCTGGGGAGGAGCCTAGGACTTCTGTTGGCTCTGACTATTTGTGATCTGAAGTCTGAGAGGTAGCACGGTCAGGACCTGGCGGCTGGCACGGTAGGTTTGTGAGCTACCTGTCACTTGTCCACAATCAGCCTGTTGTCACTGGGACTGAAAGTCGGGGAACTTCCAAAATTATTCATTTCGGAAACCTTTGTTCCGGACACAACTGTTCTTGTGATTTTATTTATTTTAATTTTGTTTTCACTATAGAATGATTTCCACTCGAATGCTGTTTTTTTTTTCCCCTACATGACTTGAAGAGAAATCTCCCCAAGGTTCTAGGGAAAACAAAAGCACAGGTTTTAACGCTTCCCTAGTCCATCCAGAATGGAAAACGCTGTTGAGTTTAGAAATTGTAGGATAACTAAAGTGAGTCATTATTTTAAAAGGTTCGTCACAGTACTTTTTCAAGTGTTATAAAACATTTGAGGGTTAGCAAAGCAGCAATTATAACTGTTTTACTGCAAGACTGAAGAATTTGATTATCGGGATATTTATGTGTGCTTATAAAACGATTGAGATGAAGAGCTTAGTCATAAACCTGAATATTCCAGTTTCCTTAGGAGTCTTATTTACCAGAGAAACCATTGGAAGTAGTACACTTAGATCTGGTCCATCATCCTGCATGATGGGCAAACTGCCACAAAATATGTCTGTGGTATTTTATCTGGTGTTGGGAATATTTCTAAAAGTGTTTGTTTGCTCTTCAAAACAATTGAATACACTTTCTCAAGTATGCTTGACAGCTTTTTTTGTGTACTAATAGTCTATACCAGACAAGCACCTTAAATAATTAATGACTGTAGCTCTCTCCTTCCATGTGGACGATGTGTTTCTGTAACCGTTTCATAGACAAAACCATTTTTATTGTTGATGATATTCTTCAAACACAAATAAATAAGCAAAAGTTTAAAAAAGAGAGTAAATGGCAGCTTTACATCATTTGTAATTCTAGTATCCATTGATTCTATAAATAAAAACATTTTTTACACTGAAGTGTATAAAATAAAATGTTTAGTGTTGGATAAATCCACTTAAATGAGTGCAGCATACCCAGTTATTTCTTTCTGAGCCAGATACAACCCACAATATTGGGTGGGTGCCGAAGTGACTACAGATGCCTCTGTAAATCACTAAATACTTAGTCACTCGCACTCCAACAAGGTTTTTCTGTCAATGCCGTATAGGTCCCTTCCTATACCTATATGGTCCCGAAACGTCGCTGTATAATGCAACACCTCTGTTGTCAATAAAAAGCACTGACAGAAAAACCTTAGAATGCGAGTGACTTTCTTCTAAGTACTTGCATAATAACAGACACTCTCAGGCAGTGCTTGTGAAAATAAACTCTTCTGGCAACCCACTGATAAAGTGACAAACTCAGGAGTTAAAGCCTAAAAATGTATTTAAGTACATGAACTATTAACAAAAATGCAACCTGTTTGTGTATCGTTCAGCTGTCGACCCGCACATCATGCCTGAAATTATGCTGACACTGTCCTTCCTTCTGGAGGGTGGCTACTTTTGTTCCCCATGGTCTCTGTGTGTTGTAAAGTAATCAACACTTCAAGCTTGCTCCTGTGATAGGCTACAATTTCAGTACAAATTAGTAAACTAAACATGAGATTATATTGCATCATGGTAGCGAGCGTGAAGCACTCCCTGGTTCACTTTGGCACAAATGATTTAATCTTGCCCAAGCATTGCATCCCTGTAAGGGTACATCAGTAGAGCTTTGCCTGAAAATCTCGTTGGTAATTTCATGAGATCTCAGGGAAAGGCACTTTCCTCCCCTAAGATGATGTGCATGGTCACATGTCCTAGTCACATGTGCCAGAGTTCCAGGAAGTAAAGATAGATCTAGTAAACTGCCCTTAGTTAAAATGGCCTTTCAGAAGACCAAGGAAGAAAAGAAAAATAAGGTATGCAAAACATTTTGAAGATATGGGTAAAGTTCCTCTTTAACCGCTTGCCGTCCGCCCGTTGTAAATGCACGGGTGGCCGTACGTGATTTTTTTTTTTTTTTTGCTTGCACGCACCCTCTAGTGCGGGCGGACGCAGAATCTTGCAAAATTATTTTACAAGCCGGTCCCGGCTGTGACATACAAGCGTTCGGGCTTCATCTGGTTCTGCTCTGCTTTATCAGG